TTGCCACAATTCCAATAAATTGTCTGATTAATAAACTTTGATTTTGATCTCCCTATACTTGAGTTTCTGTCATGCTATCTCCATCTGAAATCAACATTCAGTGTCAAACTCGAACCTGAGACCTCGCCAAAATCTTTCTTGCGAACTTTCTCAGCCAAAATGAAATCATGAATATCATCATATTTCAATTTAGATTTACTTGCAAAACTGCTAACTGCTATCCTCATGGCTTCCCAACTATCTAGCAATGAAGCCAACAAGATCAGTGCACATATCTCATCATTAAATCAATTTCCACAGACGACAATTGATTTGTGATAATATTGAAAATATTCAGGTGTTGAGCAACAGAAACACCTTTCACCATATTCAAATTGATTAACTTCTTCATCAAGTGCACCTTGTTATTCGTCGATGACTTTTCATACATACCTGATAAGGCTGCAATGACATATGCAGTCGTCCTTTCCTTGACGATGATGTGTGCAACGGACCTCGATAGGGTCAATCGAATAACTCCTAGAACTTGTCTATACAACAAATTCCATTCAGTCTCATCCATCTTTTTAGGTTTTTTCCCCAATAACGAAAGATGAAGTTTCTTCTCAAAAAGATAACCCAAAAAAAGTCCTCTATCTTCAGTCTCCAATAACCAAAATATGTATCATCAAACTTCTCATTCCCTGGATCTCCAATAACCAAAATATGTGTCATCAAACTTCTCAATTCCTGGCACCTTCACTTCATTTGCAGCCATCATTCTTTCTCAGATTCGAAATCATGCTCTGATACCAGTTGTTGTTGTTGCGCGATATAGATATACCAGTTGATGTTTATATATATAAATCAAACAAGAGAACAATCGACAAATTGAAAAATAGAACGAGAAAAATCACACTAAATAAGAAAAACACAGTGGAACACACAGATTTACGTGGTTCGGCAAATTGCCTACGTCCACGGAGTTGCAGAGGATTTTACTACTTGAGGAATTTACATCAGTCGATCACCTCGACTTACAAGAGGAATCTCTCACTCTTCTTCTCTCTCTGTTATTCTCTCTCTATACCGAGATACACCAAAAAAGTCAAACTTACAAGAGAAATAAACCCAATTTCTCTTCTACCACAAGCCACCAACAAGAAGCCTAGGAAGAACAATCTTCTACTTCTTCCTTCTTCTTCCTTCTGCCGTAAGGAACTGGTCATCCTTGCACTTCTCTTCCTCTAGGAAACCTTCCTCTATCCCGATGAAACCAAAGAAGAACTCAAAGCATGACCACTAAACCCAAGGAGAGTCATCTGAAGCTTTTATCACGAACATGAGGGAGCGAAGAGATGCTCCACTTCACAAAAGAGGAAGACGAAAGTGGTTATTTGTGAAGAGGTGTGACTCTCCAAAGCAAAATAACCGTCCAAGCATAGTTGACCGAGCTTCACCATTCCTGACAATTCATTTATGAAAATTTAGTAAGTCTATATCTATGCAAACTTTCTTCCATTCCCAAGGCGCCAGAACCCTTTAGGCAGCAATCCGACAACGCGCACAACCCCAAAGGACTGTGCAGGACTTCTAACAAAAGTTACGAAGCAACATTAGGGGCTGTTCTCATGATCGGTTCAAAAATAATTCTATTCAAAATTTTAGTTAATTGTTCAGCTTATTTATTTTGATTTGATCTCAATTCAAATTAAAATTGAAATCAATAATAATTCCTAAACTATTTTTGTTAAATTTTCTGGTCTAACAATATTGGAACTGTTAACCATCCGATGAACTGAGATCAGCTCAAAGCCGATTCAAAAATAATTTGGTCCACGTTTTAATTCGTAACACAGCCGGCTCATTTATTTCAATCCCATAGCGGTCCGAGTTAAAACTCAAATCAACAGTCCTTAATCATAAAGCTAAATTCAGAGTGCTAACTATCTCTTTCAAAGAGAGCATTACTTATGAGTGACGCCTGCCCATAATACTATTGACAGCCTTCTTCCCAATGCAATTCCATAAGATCGTCTTCATTTCTACTTTACCGGTGACATCAATTGGGTGCCCAGTTTCAGCCTTCTGACTCAACTGCATTAATGCCAGATTGCAATTTCTCCTCGCCACGTCCTGTAAAACTCCCAGTCTTCGTAAGTCGTAACGTGCGCAGTTAAGTCCATTTAAATTCCGCTAACGCTCTGTAATTGATAACGAATGGAAAAAAAGTCAACCGGTGACATGGTCAGCAAAAACAGACAGATTAGTGTAAAAAGAATGTCCATGCCGACCAATGACACGCTATGGGCCCCAGCAAAGTCAGTCCATGTTAATCTGAGTCACTACGATAAATAAGAGAGATACTTGTTCGGACGGTCCGAGTTTGCACAACAGTTTTCACATTTTTAAGATATCTAACACACCATCTAATTCTCTTGTATTAGATATCTAACACTTAAAGTTTGCATTTTATATTTTTATCAACTAAAATTTTCATATCATATAATAAAAATGTTGAATCCAAATATGTCGTGTGGATCACACATAATGTATAGAACATTAGACAGAATAGAGGAACAAAAAGAGATATTGAGAGAGGGATTAAGAGCACAATAACATAAGTTCTTAGATAGTAAATTCAGTAGTCCTTTATTAAATAAATAACGCCCTATTTACAGGTTCCAAGGATATCTAATATGAAATGTCATGCTTGTCTCAATTTTATTAGGGACATTACAAGTTATTATTGCACCTCACATTTGTAGCTAACTTTGACGCCCTTTCATATCTGTTGTTAGCATCGTTTAGTATTCATAATTGTTTGAATATGGGAATTTAATGACCTGTTAGTCTTGCTGCTCGGTAGGTTGAAAACCTTTGTTCAGTCCCCACTCATTCGATTAGCTGAAGGTCAGCGATCGGCCCTCTAAATGAAATCCCGGCTAGCGGCCCTCCTGGTGCAAGAGTGAACTTAGACCATCAGACATAGGATATATCATCGTAATCTGACGAGTAGTTCTCTTTAGACAAGAGGCCTTCTTAAAGTATTAATCTAGGATATTTAAAATCAATCTTGGATACACTTAACAAAAGCAAAATAGGGGAATTTACATACATACCACACAACTCTTATGTTCATAGAGATCTAACACCCAAACACTCATATTTACATATATAACACTCAAATCTTTAATATCACAAAAAAAATCACTATTTCTAAAAGTAAAATACACATTTTCCTGCATATTTATGAGACCAAATTGCTATAAATGTTAGTATAAAAATTTAACTTTTTGATATGTAAAAAAATTAAACTTGTGTAATATGTATTCAAATCTCCCAATACATGTTGTTGCTAATTCTATAGTAAATTAATATTGCAAATTTAGGTGAATAAAATATTAATTAATCGGAAAAATCAACATTAAGTAATTGTAACTTGAGTTTCCTATTTTATATTAAGTTAAAAGATATATTTGTTTAAGATAATATAGTTTGTCTTAAACTTTTTATTTTTTTGTAGAAATAAACTTTTTTTTCTAGTGTTATGTTTGGAGAACATATTACATTACTTATAATGTTGATGGTAGATGGACAAACTGACATAGGAAGGAAAATATGTGCCAATGGGAAAAAAAGGAAATGCAATATAAAATATATTGATAGAATATAAATAACTTCTACATTAATGGCTAATTAAAATAAATATATATATAAATTCATGTTTTATTGTTGGTTTTGAGGGATACTTCATCATTACTCACATTAAGAATTGAAGCAGAGATATTTTGCATGGCCAACTTGTCTAGCGGGCTATAAAAAGATTTTTTATTTTATTTTATTTTATAAACAAAAATATAACTAATTTGGTTTCAAATTTTTTTGTTTTTTATTTTTTTTTGAATGAAATATTGATCGACATCTACATATTTTGATTTATAATAAGATAAATTTTGTCACATAGTTCTTGGATTTTATCTTTACATGGCGAGTACAAGCCACCTAGTGAATCACACTATCCTAATGCTTTAACAAGCTTTTCATCGCAAAAATGAAGAATAAATTTAAGATACAAAATAGTTTAATTTAAAGTAACTCGATTGTGTTTTATAAAACCTAAACAAAAGCCCCATAAATAAATTAAAAAAAATTATAAATTAATACATTAAATTGAATAACTTCTATAAAAATAATGACACCAATCACTCTAAGTTGTCTATCATATATGATAAGAATGCTTAGCAACAAAATAAAATTAAACATATCATAAGAATGTTTCAATTACTTCATTGAATTATAATAAAAAAATATAACAAATAACTTGGTGCTAATTTATTATATAAAATTTAAAAAAGTTGTGTTTAAATTAAGTATGCATCAATAAAAATAGATTGTTGCATTAACAACTTTTATATATATATATATATATATATATATATAAAAGATTATACTATAATATGATACAAATGAGTTAATTAATTATTTCCAAAATGAGATTGGAGAATTTTTTATTTTAGAAAATTATTCCACGTGAGGCCCACACGTGCCCCTTTCTTTGATTTTGTGAGACAAAATTTGTCTTGCCTAGAATATTAGGCCATTCCCACCTTAAAATAACTTTAGGATTCCAATTTTAACATAATAATTGAAGGATACCATATCTCAACTTCAAATAACTTTAGAAGCACTTAAAACAGCACACCCCTTTTCACAAAGAGCTCTAAGCGTAAAACTCAAATAGCTAAAATACACCTCATGCTTAGGCCGACAGTAAGTGATTCGTCACTCGGTAGTATTTCACGTGTCTAATTCAAAATAAATAACATGGCTACATTTTGAACAATGACTCATAGAAAATTGAAATAATTTTCCAAAGAATTTAATGGTGATTTGTGCATATTCAATTATTCACCTTGCAAATTCATGCAAAATTTATGGCATGCACCCTTTTCCCATGCGCATTTCTATAAATATTGTGCGATTATGGGGTAGAGACGCGTGCGTACCGGCTCCCCTGTTCTATAAAAGCTGCCCCAACTCTCTCCCCTCACCCGGCAGCCTCATCCCTCTATCTCCAACAGCATTCTCTCTATCAATAGAGAAGATCGAGGATAGAACTGTAAATGGCAATTTCTTACAGTCTAATAATATACACATCCATCGTCTCTGCCCTTCTCTGCTATCTCCTAATTAGGAAACTCGGGAAGCAGAATGGGAAGCTCCGCCTGCCACCGGGCTCCATGGGCTTGCCCTACATCGGAGAGACCTTACAGCTTTACTCACAGGACCCGAACGTCTTCTTCGGTTCCAGGCTTAAGAGGTATGATCCATCCCCACAGTAATGCATCGGTATCAGATTGACTCATATGATGGAATTCAGGTACGGCGAGATCTTTAAGACGCATGTATTGGGTTACTCGTGCGTGATGCTGGCGAGCCCGGAAGCGGCGAGGATGGTGCTTGTGAGCGAGGCACACCTCTTCAAGCCGACCTACCCGCGGAGCAAGGAGAGGATGATCGGCCCATGGGCGCTCTTCTTTCATCAGGATGAATACCATGCGCGTGTAAGGAAGCTTGTGCAGGCTTCGCTCGCCCCAGAGTCACTCCGCGGTCTTGTTCATCAGATTGAAGCTGCAGCCACCGCCCCATGCTCCGCTCATGGGACGGCCGTGTCCTCAGTACATTCCAAATTATGAAGCAGGTTGGCTGGCTGAGGCAGAGCCTTTTTTTTTTCTTTTTTTTTTCTTAATGAGGATACATAAGTTTATTAATTAGGAATTTAAAGGCCTGCTCGAATGAGTAATCGCAATAAAATACAGAATCTTTGGATATGGATTCGCATGCTACCCAGCCAAAAATAAATTAAAAATTAAAATAAAAGAAAATTTTGCATGCATAACATTCAATTCTTATGCATTTACTTATCTCACTCCTAAATTTTAATTGATATGCACCATAATCTATGTATGAAAAAGATGAATTACACTATTTTCACTATTTCATAGGAAAATGTGCTTACGATGTAGAAATCAAAGTAAATGCATAAGAGTTGGGGGCCATGTATGTAAATTTCCCAAAAAAAATTTAAAGACTCTTGCCTGATATAAAATATCAAAATTCTAGAGAAAATATTACGTGCTTTCTTAGTATATGCCGATAATTATAGATAAAAAGATCATATCATAATAATTTTGTCATGACGTGACATAACATTTTCATCAATTATTATCTGTACATACTTTCAAAATCTGTAATATCCAAAAAAAAAAAAAACTCAGCTAAATTTAATACGGCTCTAGAGAAAATGAAAGAAATATGTGTAGGAGTTGAATTGAAACTAATTTTCATCAATATTTTTGGTTAATTACAAATTAAGTAAAATTTTTTTATTTTAAGTAATTAGTTGTTGTTTTGAGAAAATTAAAGGCATGTGACTTATAATACTTCTCTACAATTTTTCAATTTTTCACTAAAATTATACAATATATTAATCAATGAATATTATAAAACCAAATGCCACTCATTTAAAATGCATTTACATTCATTCTAATTCCACCAAAACCAAGCATAGTCTTAAACCAAATGCCACTCATTTAAAATGCATTTACATTTCCACCAAAACCAAGCAAAGTCTGTACTCTGCAGGACCATGCAAAAGACTCCATATAATGAGCAGCCGAGTTTGCTTATGCGAGGCGGGTGTTTTTATTTTTTTTAATTTTGAAGAAAAAATGAAATTTGTAATTAGAAAACTGACTCAAATCATGACAGCTGCTGGTTGGAGTACGAAGTAATGTAAAACCTCTGTTTTGTCCATATGCAGCTCTCCTTCGAAGTCGGCATTTTAGTCATCTTCGGCAGGCATTTGAGCGAGCAACGCAAGAATGAGCTAAAAAATAACTACTTCATCGTTGACAAGGGCTACAATTCTTTCCCCACAAACCTCCCCGGCACTCTTTACAGCAACGCCATTAAGGTTCGTGTAGGCGACTCAGCAGCTAGCCCCATCCATCTTCACTCTTACAACAATTCTCCTAAATGTAACTTTAAGTAATTACGAATGAACAGGCGAGGAAGAGGCTTCGGCAAATACTCAACGATATCATGAAGGAGAGAAGAGAAAATGGGGCGATGGCAGAGAAGGATCTGCTGTCCTGTTTTGTGGAGTGGAGGGACGAGAGAGGAGAACAATTGACAGATGATCAGATCTCCGACAATATCATCGGAGTGCTCTTTGCCGCGCAGGACACGACGGCTAGCGTTCTGACATGGATCGTTAAGTACCTCAACGACGAGCCTAAGATTCTTATGGGAGTGAAGGTAGCCATCAATTAAGGCGTCAATAACATGAGACATTCGAGTTGGTCAGCAAAGTACTGACTATTATGTCATTCACCTTAATTGCAGAGCGAACAGATGGCGATTTATGAATCGAATGGATGCGGAAGGCAGCCATTAACATGGACCCAGACCAGGAGCATGCCTCTAACTCATAGGGTAGGTGATAAATTGTTCTCTCCCCCGTAAGCAATTGCTCTGTTTTTGGCTGAAAGAATTGAAAGTGTAACTTCTCTTTTGGGGAAGAAAATTTTCCTTCCGGACACTATCGTATTTTTAGATAGTTAACTACTGGTTATCACATCGCATATATGCTATCGACGGGCGATATGATCACCGATTGTTTGCCATCCGAACATAAAGACGTATGTTTGCAATATTTTTTCTCATTAGCCAGCTTCTTCTTGATTTACTTTTCAAAAGTTATTGTCTTCTTTATTTAATTTTTTTCAAAAAAATTATGTGATGTAAAATTATTTTTAAAATTCAAATTGGCTAATAAAATATAATAAAAAATAAAAACTTTATTGTTTTGACCTTTTCAAAAAAAAAAACCTAAAATATGTATTATATTCAAAACAGTTTTTTTCAAAAAGAATAAATGTTTATTTAATTCACTTGTTTAATTGAAGAGAAATTAATATTAAAAAACATTCTTAAAATGTTTTTTTGAGTTGATGAAAAATTAATTTTTTTATTTTATTGGAGAAAAGGACATGTAATTCATGGTGATCTCCTAAAATTTTCTTACTATGTACCATCACGAATGCCTTGAAAATTATCCATGAAAAATCTCATATAAAATTTTAATTTTTAACAAAATCTAATAACCCTTAAAATAAATACTTGAAATGAAATTCCACTATAAAATAAATTTAGATTTCTTCTTGTACTCCTTTAAACCAAACAGAGCCAAAAGATAAATCGCTGATTTTTTTTTTTTTTTTGTTCCGTGCCACATTTGCGCGCATTTGTGCGCCATTCGACCGGCCTAACAATAATATGTACTTTTCTGTTGTATAGGTTATATTGGAGAGCTTAAGGATGGCAAGCATTATCTCCTTCACGTTTAGGGAGGCAGTGGCAGATGTGGAGTATAAAGGTAAATTAAATTGATCAGCTCCTATAAATAAGAGCTTATTTATATGTTGCCATATTTGTGGTGGTTCATGGGAACACTTGTATCAACCTTTTAAGGCATAAGGATTTTATCTAGGCTTCGTGACAAAGTTAGGAATGTCATTTATACCATCAACATATTAGTTTTGGAACTTATTTGCAAATCTAAATTGTCAATGGCACTTCAATGCGTGATTAATAATGGCTTCTCCTATTTATTATATGTTGACCATATGTTGCAAAATTAGGTAGAGCATCGAACTTTAATATTTTTTGGGGCATTTACATACATACCATCCAATTCATATGTATTTACATATCTAATACCTAAAATTTATTTTTTTACATTTATACCACCCAAGTCTTTCATATCACATTAAAATATCATCATTTTAACTTTTAAAAAGTGAAATACATGTTTTCAAACTTTGGTGAGATGCCTGTATGTAAAAATTGAAGTTTTGGTGTAAGATATATAAATTTATAAAAATTGAGTGGTATGTATGTAAATCTTCCATATTTTTTTGGTTAATATCTATTAAATTATGATAATTTGAATTGGATGCAGGGTACCTTATACCCAAGGGATGGAAGGTGATGCCTTTATTCAGGAATATCCATCACAATCCAGAATTTTACTCAGAACCAGAAAAATTTGTTCCTTCTAGATTTGAGGCAATTAATCCGACTTTCTAAGCATTTTTCTATCTCTTTGTTGATGTTAAAATTTATATTAAACTATTTCAGTAAAGGCCACATAGTAATAATTCTCAATTATTTTTTCCTCAACATAGGTCTCACCCAAACCCAACACCTTCATGCCATTTGGAAATGGTGTTCATTCTTGCCCTGGGAATGAGATCGCCAAGCTTGAAATGTTTGCCTTTATCCATCATTTGGTGACTCAATACAGGTTAGCTTTAATTGAGGAACAAACTAAACATTACATTTTACTTGAAATTATGTAAATCTAATGATTCTTCTCTTTCTTTTCATTAATTCTGTAGAACTTAGGTTGAACTCTGAACTCAATCAATTTTGTCAAACTAAGCTCAAGCCAAGCTAGTTATGACTCATTAATGATCGACTATGGAATGTAAAACTTAGGGATGGTTAGTGAAACAACAAAAAAGGAGGGATTTGACAAAATAATTGATCTATGCTTTTGTTGTCATTTTCCTATCATGGAGTTTTATTAAAATTAAGTTATTTTGTGCAGATTTGAGGTAGTGAGCTCTTACAGTACAGTGGAATATAGGCCATTCCCTATTCCCAAGAATGGCCTCCCTGTTCGTCTTCGGCGTACAGAGACCGATAGTAGTGTGAACCACTAGCAAGACGGGTGCTCAAAGAATTGTCGTGTCTCATTGTTTTTACTTAAAGAATGTTAAACTAATATTTGCATACCCCGGTTCTGTGATTGGCTTGCCTCTTTGTTGTTTTTTTTTTTTATTCTCTCATTATTACAACAATTACAGATTTTTGAATCATCTACAATACTTTATGTAACCTTCTATCATCATATTATTGGGTCCAAAATGTGGAATGCCAACAGAAGAGTATTGTCACCCCCATTAATGTGCTAATTTTTCATTCAATTTAAGATGCTCTAATTCATCTCTCTTTTTCGGGACTCCCCAATTAAATTGGTTGAACTCACCAATTCTAATAGCACAAATTAAAGTTATTACTAAATATTAAAATAATTTTAATTGCAATAGTTAATTTATTATGGTATCTTAAGGAGCATATCATCTTGTTTGTATTCTTATAGTTGCATTCTAGAACTAATGTCAATACAGCGAGTTTGTCGTCTTGACTATGAATAATGATCCATACATTTAAAAGGGTACTTGAAATGAACAAGTAACAAAAGATTTTTTTTTAATATAGTAAAACAAGAAAGAAAAATTTGTTGTCATAACCCAATGATAGCAATGCGTGGTCATTTTTAAAATTTAAATGGCTCAACACAATACAAGAGATTCAAATGTCTTGAACATCTCACTTGGTGTTAACAAAAAGAGATCAAATGTGTTTCTATGAATGTAGACAACCAAAAAAATATAATATAGCCCGTAGGCATAAACCAAGATAATGTAGAATTTATATCTTAAATATGCCTTGAACATCTGTAAATGAGTCGTCGTTGTCCATTGCTAGAATGAAATATAGAGTAAGGAGATCTTTTGATTTGAGATAACTCCATAATCAAGAAAACACAATGTTTGAAAGATATAGAGATAGGAAATTAAATTTAGAGGAGTGACGTTGTCATTTATCAAGTGAGTACATGAAGCAGTTTATGTACATATTTTTCAGCTTTAAAGCCTACATCAGTAATGGAGAGAGAATGAGGGTAGAAATCCACTATACTAAAGAAATTGTCTATTAGATAGAGAATGTTCATCTTAAGCCATGAAGTAGTGTTGAAAGTGAAAGATATGATTCAAGCTATCGAAGTCACCACTTTAAAATTATGAATGCATCTGGCCGTCATTAGGCTGCAGGTTGTTTTCTTAATTTGACCAAAATTAAATCAATCAAAGATAAAGAGATTCGTTACCTTGTTTAAGTAATCAAGTGACCATGACGATGTAAAAAGAACCCTACTACAAGACACCAACAAGTTCTGCTTGACGCTTTTAAACATTTGAATTCAAAAGCCATTTGAAATGTAAAATAAATATAATATATTTGAAAAACAAAAATGAAGAATTTATTTGGGTTTGACTTTAAGGAAAATAAAATGCAATTGAATTTTTCAACATTTTTCTAGCTAGTACTATAATTCAATTTTGGTATATTAGATGAGTGATTTGGCCAAATTTTGAATACAAGATACGCTGCACTTGTTGCCACCATCTATAGTTGGTCACTACTCGTCACCGATTGATCCTCAGTAGTCGCTGCAGCAGTAGTGGTGTGATACTGATAGCCACCACTATCAAAGCCAGCTAATACCAACATCCACCACTATCAAAGCTACTAAATATCAACATCCATCACTTTCACAGTTAGAATATTAAACTAAGGATCTATTTGGGGCACCTATAGTTATTTGAAGTAGTACCTGTGCAACAACTATGGAGGAAGCTGTTGCTAGGAATCTTTTGTTGATAAAGTTGTGTGCAGTGCAATTGTATATCAACTGTGTTGCAACTGTTCTTGAAATAAAGAATGCATTTGATATAAGCAATTTAACTATTTCAGATTAACTCAGATAATAACAAAAAGTAATTTAAGACACTCTCAAATAGTCATAAGTCCAAAAATATTACATCAAAAAAGTATACATCGCTTAGCAATAAGTAACCAAAAAAATTAAAGTTACAATACCAAAATAAATATTGCTAATGGAAATGGCTCCCAAAAAATACAACATAGGGGCCAACACCCATGTATCAGTAAAACAAAGCATGTAGTCGAGGGGCCAAAGTAACCAAATAGGCTTCATAAAGTATGAATTACTCAAATTAGCTTTACCTTGAACTTGGGACATATGCTATTTGTTGCAAAACTTATATGAAAAAAACCATTTTGCATTTATTAAATGCTAAAATTTACGAAATTAATGCCCGTCTAGGAGAATATGAGACATGTAAGAAATATGAAATCTACCATTCAAGTAAAACCAATATATTCAAAGAATTTTAGGGCTGCACACACACACACACAGATATATATATATATGATATC